TCAGCCCAAATGACCTGTATTTTAGCACATCTGATAAAATTCAGCCGAGAAACAAGTGCTTCAAATTTTGGTTAAAATATGTTTTATCCGATTTGGTGTTAAAGTCCCTCACATGCGTAATATGCACTCCACAACAATGATATTTGATACCGGGCATCAGATACTGCTCGAAAATACCTCTGCTAAATTTTATCGATTTTACGGATGTTGCTCCCCATATATGTGTTACGGGAGATCTACTAATACTCATAGTGGTGTAGGCTATCATATAGTCGGCCCGCCTGACTTTTGACCTTTCCTTACTTGTTTTTTTTTTGAGTCTATTTTAAACACACAAGAAAAAAAAAATAAGTTCTGACAATGTTGAATTTTTTAAACATTTAAATTACGTACGCTTGACGTGTGCTTAACTCGCGTGGAGAAAATGTAGATCAAGTACCTTCAATTTTCGATAACGCTCTCAAATAAAAAAGTTTATTAAGGAAAAAAATGTCAAATCACAAAATTTTATGCAGGAAGTATTTTTTATTTTTAATTTCTAAATCTTAATCAGTTGAAAGCTTTCTCTAAAAATACCCTCAACTATATGTATTTTGAATGTCCAAACGACTCTTTTCAATGAAATGTTCAATAAGTTAGTATATTTATGGGGTTTTAAAATATTAAGACAACTGACTTTAAAATAATGGAAATTTTCCCATTTAGGTACCATCATCCTTGGACAGAGAATTTCTAATAAGATTCCATGCTATCTATTTTTGCGCTTTATGGGTCAAAGTTGTTGCATCTCTTCTAAATATATGAACTGCATTTGTTTTGAAAATGTACTGAAGTTGTTTTACTTCTGTTTTTGTTATAAGGTCATACAAGCAAAATTTTAATCGTTTTTACTAGCCATGACAAGTAATATTTTTTTCTCAAATAAGATTTTTTCCATGAATTTAAGCAAATAAAATTATTTACATATTATCTTTATGACTCCGAACACACAAGTATTTGCATACATTTGCGACAATGAATCACAAGTTTAAAATATCTCTTTTTTTGGTACTGGAACATCGTATATTCCCAGCAAAATACCGACTTGTAAAGAGTATTTTTGCTAGGCTCATGCGATTTTATTTATTTGTATATACAAATTTACAGTGTAACACAACTATTTTAAGTTTCTTATCTCAAGTTGGGCTGTATTAATAACCAAGTGTGCCAATAATTGATTGCAACAATGTGTTCGAGAAGTACTCGAGTGCACTTGTCCGCACACTACTCTGCTAATTATAATAACAAAAAAAAAAAAATCGAAAAATAAAATTCAAAACAAACTCAGATGGTTTTCAGTTTCGTGCCCGTATGCATTTTTCACATCACAGCTGAAGGGAGGCGAAAAAATGTGGGAAAATCAACAAAAACATGTGAATGTGCATAATATACCAGTGTTATATATATTTTTAGTATAAGGTCTTGCTGACATAGAGTCGACGAGAAAAAAGCGACAACGTTTGGATGTGCAACGTCAAAATAGCTCAAGGCAAGAATGGAGTGTCATTATTATTTTGCTGTAGAGTTTAGCAACACACGTGTATAATATAGATGCTGCATGGTGTGTATTTTAGAGATATACAAAATTAATTATTAATTTTTAATTTTGTAATTATAATTTATGTGTTGTTATATGGGAAGGAGGCAAAATTACAGTTGCGACATTGGTCTAGAAGTACATGGATACATGGTTAGAGGTTGAACTTATATTTATGACCGATTTTTACAGCTAATCAGCTATTGCATATTAGACTTTTATCTTATTTCTATTATTTGCTCTCAGTTTTAAAAAAATATCTGATCAGCTACCACTGTAAAAACTTTTGTCTAACTTGTTTTGCAAGCCATTTTTATTACCAGTCATTTTTATACGGCTGATCATAAAAATGGTTTTAATGATTTTTTTACGTCTTTTTACGTCTAAGCAGACAAAAGTACTGATTTTTGGAATGAGTTGTTCAAAAAAAATGTTCAAAGATCAGCAGATTAAAGTAGATAAATAATATATTCTAGAAACTGCATGCAAATTCTTCATATTTTTAAAAATAATATTTTTATAAATATTAATATTTTTATATTATTATATCATATTTTTGAAAGGCTAAAGGACCAAAAAATATGTGGACACTTGACAAAACCTTGAGTCTTTAATGACTTGCGGATTTTTCAAAGAAAATTTTTTCAAAGTACAGCAGACTAAAAATAGAGTTTTCTAGAATCAGCGTCAAAATTCTACGGATTTTTACAGCATTTTTTTAATGACTTGCAGACTAATATTTGCATCCTTTAAAAAATATTTCTTTCTAGAACCAGCTTCAGCATTTCTTCAGAATTTTTTTTAATGAAAAGATGACCCAAACGCATATATCTTTTTAAAAAATTTTGTTTTTCAGGAGTAGGTGATCCAAACATTTTTTCAATATTTTTCTCAAGGGCAACCTGACAAAAAAGCATTATTTGCATTTTTTTTCTTCAAGAACGAATTTTTCAGCATGAAGTATGGGCCTTTTAAAAAATATGTCACAGTTATCAACGGGAAATTAAAAAGAAATATATTTGACAAAAAAGTAATTTTTTTAAATTAACATGACCAGAGAGGGTGTATATCATTTGATGCGGCCAAAAGTGCCTAGTCGAAATAACGGTTTTAGACTCCAGGCCTCTTTAGACCAAATCCGTCTCAGGACATTTGGGGACGATTTAGCGATGTCAATCCGTCCGTCGGCTGGCGGTGCGCACGATAATTCTATCCAAACTTGGTACATCGTAAAATCTTTGTCAAACTTAGATCGAGGTCGGAGATGGGCAAAAGGTCAACATTTTCATAAAAAATAATTTATCGCATAGGAAGAGGACGGATAATCCGATTTTGTTCAAATTTTGCAAATCGTGATTTTTGCATTGCTGCAAGATCGGGTGCGAGAATGGGCGAGATCGGACTACTCCTTCTTGTACCTCTTCTTCTAGACATCCGATTCAATATTTGGAATATCTAAAACGCTCATAAAATGCGAAATATGCATCAGATTCTCTTTAAATTTCGCACATCCCAGCAGTCATTCGGCATATCGACATCCTGGCGCGTAGTTTAACTTCTCGTACAAACTATTTAATGCAAGTCGATATTTTTGTTTGGCTCCCTATTTGTCGGTACCTGCTCCTGGATTTGGTTCCACTTTCAAACTAAATATATTGTAATTTGATATTTCGGATTCGGAAAGTACCTAAATTTCCAAATTTCCAGCTGTAATTCTTTATAGAAAGTTTAACTCCCCTCTCAAACCATAATGGGACATAATGGAATTGGTGGTAATCGGTTCAAAATTAGATATAGCTCCCATGTATACAGGGTTGCCCATATTCGACGGATCCATCTGGCAACGCCATAACTTTTCACAGATATGTCACATCGCTTAATGACATACCGCGTTTGAAGCGTTAGTCCAAGCCGATTTTTACCATGAACCAATACACGCCACGCGAAATAGTTGAAATTTACATTCAACAGAAGAAGTCAATTGTGAAAACTCAACGTGCTTTTAAAACATTAAAAAATGTGAGAACACCAAATTCAAGAACACCATTAAGCGTTTATACGAAAAATTTTCGAATGGTAAGGCTCTTTCTAATCCGAAGAGGCCATATAAAAGTCGATTAAGGCGAACGGCCGAGAATATCGCTGCCGTACGGGCCAGTGTTGAGAGGTCCCCAAGAACATCCCAAAAACGCCGTTCTCAGCAGTTGGACATGGCTAGGTCCACTTTACAACGGATTATTCGCATTGATTTGCATTTGTTCCCGTACAAAATTCAATTGACGCAAAGAATGTGGCCAAAAAAAAAAAAACATGGGTCCGTCGAATATGGGCAACCCTGTATATTCGTCCGATTTCCATTTTATTGTACGTACGTATGTGCACTATTCGATCAAATGGAATGGATTTTGGCACATCCAACCGAATTCAGCCTAGAAGCAAGTGCTTCAAATTTGGTAAAAATTGCGTCAGATATAGCTATAGCTCCTATACATATATTTCATCCGATTTGCGATATGTACCTCCAATACACTCCACAATAAGGATATAAGGTACCAGATATAGACAATTTCACGTTTATTGAGTACCAAATTTTAGCACATGCGACCGAACACAGCCTATAATTATGAGTGTCAAATTTGGTAAAAATCGGTTAAGATATAGCAATAGGTTTAATATATATCTCTATCCGATTTAGGGTTTATGGGATACCAAATGGTTAATACCAACCCACATAGCGTGAATTTCGGCACAGACCACCGAATTTACCCTAGCCGTAAGTTTTTCAAATTAAGTGAAAATCGGTTCAGCTATATCTGAATGGGTCCCATACATATGTTTTATTCGATTTGGTATTTAAGGTTCATGGTTGGTATGATCTACATCAGATAAATTAGCAATAATAACGTTTATTTATTTCGAATATTTTTACTAAACATACATAGTGGTGTAGGGTATAAAATTGGCCCCGCCCGACTTTTGACCTTTCCTTAATGGATACTATAGTCATTAGGTCTGGACCAGCAATGGACTATAATTATTACCTCTAAATTTTTTTTAATGATAGTATGTAAGTGTGGGGTGTATTAAAATTGCACAGCCTTGCCAGAAATTGAGTTGGATCGAAGCCCTATCAATTTTGTTTTCGAAACCCATGCATACGACCCCCGCAAATTCATATACAATGTGCATATAAGCTAAGCAAGTTAGCCTGCCAAAGTATTCAGCAGTAGTCAGACATTCAGTCACACAGGCCATCCATCCAAACCGTCCGTGCGTCCGTCCGTCCAGCCATTCATTCACTTATTCATTTACCCACTTCACTTTCACTTCGAGGTTTTTTGTTTTGTTTTTTTTTTTTTTGTTGGCTGTGGGTCGTTTGTTGTTGCTTTTTTTCTCATTCTATGTAGAATATAGATGTGTGTGAGCCAATATGTGTGTGCGTGTGTGTTTGTGTGACTGTTCTGTTTTGGACCTCACAAGTCAGTTGTGGCACGCCGATTAGTAAGCATTTTAACGTTGAAGAGTTAACTAACGGCCTACCACAATTTGAGAGAGTTCTTCTTGTTTTGTTTTTCTGTTTCGGCTTTTAGTTTGATTTTGTTGTTAAAGTTTATGTTATTGTGGTTATTGGTGTTATTGTAACTTTAAGAAACCAGGCAGTTGTTGCTGCTGACCGTCACCGGTTGCCGTGGTTAATTTACACGCCATTAAATACCTACGTTTGACAAGTTCAAAAGGACGCGAAGGACATTCAAATGACCGGTGTCAGATTTTTAATTACTTGCCCCAGTTATTGTCAAAGTGCCTTGGAGTTCAGTGGAGAATTTCCGAATAATTATTAAATGCCTCCAGAAGTGACCTTTATTAGAGATTTATTTAATATTTCTAAGTGTTTTGATTTGTTGTTGTGATTTTCGATTTGGCACAAAGCCGAAACCAAAACATTTCGTCATACCACCTCCCAAAAAAAAGTAAATAGCAAATGTAAACGGAACTAACTAAACACTGCGGCATTGCAAATAAAAACAAAAACAACTCAGCAAAATCCAAAAAAAACAAAAAAAAACAGAAAAAAAACGCGAAGTCAGTCACAGCCAAAAAAAGTGATTCATTGTAACGAATGACTTCACTCTTTCCCAGAACCACGAACGTTCTATGGAAATTTCGTTTGGAATTTCTAAAGCACCCGCAACAACAACATCATCATCAGCATTATTATCGAAAAGCAACAGAACTGCTTTGGAAGTGGATGTAAACACGGCGTAGCTGGCTTCACACCATCATCAAGCTGTTTGGAGGGGAAAGACCCAACCGCGAATCAAATATCGCCAACGAAATTCTTGTTGTTGTTTCATTTTATTGATTTCCATTCATTGGGTGAACGTGCCCCGTAGCCCGTCACCCACCTCGCCGCAACAATGATATTTATCTTTGATTTGTTAAAACCCTTACTCGTTTATGGCTTTGTTGTCATTTTCACGATATTGACTCACATTTTCAAAACTATCGTTTATCAAGTGCACTCCATAGATATTTGAAATGTTGTCGTCGACGTTGTCGTCGTTTATCTAATATTATTCGCGCTAATGTTTCGAGGTTTTGAGAATTCTTGTTGCTGTCATTTGCCGGTCTTATCATCAGCAGCAGCAGAAGCAGCAATGAGTGTGACTCGCTTAAAAGCAAAGATGTTTACAAAAAGTGTCAAGAGAATGAAGCAGCACAAAAATAACAATACCCACTCACTCACCACACACACACACACAATGCACGGAAGAAGGTAAATAAAATAATAATGTTGTTTTAAAACAAGTAATAGTTTTGTCACTTGTGAATTTTCTACACATGTTGATTTCGTACACTAGTCGACAGGATATGTTATCTGAAGAGTAATTAAAAAGAGATTGTTCCTTCGAAAAATCAATTTTCATTCATTTTATTCTATTAAGAAATAAATTAGAGGAAATAAAAATGTAACAATTTAAAATGTTCCAGTCATTGTTCCGACAGATATCTACGTTTAGCATTTAACCTTTGTTATGCCCTTTACCATACTATGGAGGTATATTGAGAATTTCTATTCGTCTGTAACTTCTCAAAATATATACGTCTAAGATCCCACAATCACTTTTGGTATTTTATGACCAAAAATTTTTTGAAAATAGGTTATATGGGTCCACATTATTCAGCTTCCATTCAACTGCAGGTAGTTATTAAGTTTAAAATATTTTGGAAGTTTAAGTGAAAAGTTTATACTTAATTTGCTGTAAATTTGCAGCTTTTGTTACCTACTTCCTACTTTGTAGAAAACATCCCTTACATATATTCGCATATTCGCTATTTTGATGACTTGTGTCGCATTTTTCACCGGACCGCACTTTTGATAGAAAATTGCTGATTGGTACCGAATTCTTTGATAGATAATTGGCTATACATGTCTCGTTTTCATGTAGCCCCCATATAATTGTGCTACTCCATATTCTGCATTTTAATAAATTTAGAGGCATTTTTTAGCGGAGTTTTTTGAAATTTTTATGGAAGTGGGGTTAAGGCCATAATATGGTTGAAATGGACCAAAAAAATCTTGGTTTGCAGTTGCTCTAGATGTCACAATTATAGATCAATCGACTCGAAATTTCTCATAGGTTCTGAGTTCAGAGCTGGCCAGAAACCTACCAATTTGGATGGTCATTGAATAACATTTAGCGGTTGAAAAAGACCCTAACTTTCAATTAGAAAAATACGAAAATTTATATTAAACCGCAAATATTTGTAATCCCAGCGAAATCACAATAAACGGTGTCCTAACTGAACGCTATTTTGAAATTTTATGTAAAGCACATATATTTCTAAAATAAAATGTTAAACTTTATTATTTCCTAAAGTAGTCAGAATTAAGATATGTATGAAAAAAGATATTGTGTAGACGGCCGCCGCGGTTTCGCAGGCACACACGCGATTTTTTAATGAAATTTGCAATGACCGTCTAATTTCTTCTCTTAAGGCTTGAGCCGTTGTTCGTTTATTCGCGTGAACCATCGACTTCAGAAAACCCCAAAGAAAAAACTTTAAATGTGTTTAATCGCACAATGTACGCGGCCAATTCTGGCCTCCAAAACACGACCGGGAAACGATTAAAGCATCAATTGAATTGTTTTACTGCCTGCATGACATGTTGCGCCGCCTTCTGGAAACCACATGCCCATTCACATTCTAGGCAAAAAAAAAAAAAAAAAAAAAAAAAAAAAAAAACACAGGTTGTGCTTGTTCTGTCTAATTTTCATAAAGAACGATATATTTTTTTCTCCAGCCTAAAAACTAAATCACACAGTGATACGTTGAAGGTGCATTTGCTTCTCACATGTGGCAATTGGAAATGGTCCTCGTCACTGATGATTAGAGTGTTCATTCGTGTAGAGCTCCATTTTTACTAAGTGTCAAACAATAACACTTCGAATGGCGTCAAATTTAAAAATTGTGTTCTGGTTGAGACACCCGTTACATTAAAAGATCACTATTGACAATTACATCCAATCCGATATCTTGGCTATCAGCACCACGATTGCCAAGATATCGGATATATAACATAATATGTGCACTCTGTATGTAAAAGAAAATGATGTTAGGTATTCTGCTTATAAGTCAAGACCGATTAACTGATGATTTAGTTGGACTGATGATTTAACTATTCTCACCAAATTCGGAATAGCCTCGTCCCAAAAAATCACGTAAAATTCATATGTCAATAAAAAAGTGATTTTTTTGTTATATTGTTTTATTTCTCGTATCTTTTTATAATGCATGCGTTTAAACAAGTAAAAAAGTATAGGTCGGTTTTGCCGACAGGGGTATACCCTTAGCCAATGTTCGATTATTTAAAAATATAAAGACCTCTGTTATGATTATTCAAATGTTTAACCCCTTATGCAGTGGGTTTCGAATAAATCGGCCAATATTGGCAATTTCGTATCGGACTTAAATAAACATGATATAAATATTGCGACGTGCTAGGCTTGGACTGTGTTGTGTTAATGGAAATTTTGGGATGTACCAAGTCTTGAATGGAATCGGATTTCAATTTCGCTTTTTATGAGCTTCATGGATATTCAAAATTTTGAGCCTTAGAGGGAGACGTACCAGAAGTAGTGGACCGATATATCCCACCTTCACAACGGATATTTTGTTAGTGGAAATAATAGAATGTGTGAAATATAAAGAAAACCTGATGCTTATTTCGGATTTTATAAACGTTTTGGTTATTCAAAACTTTGACCTTTTGTGGAGGAGGTACCAGGAGGATATCTATCTTTTCTTTAACAGATCCTGTGTTGATAGCAATATTCACATGTGCCAAGTCTAAATGGAATCCGATATTGATTTCGCGTCTTATGAGCTTAATGGAGATTGAAAATTCCGACCTTTTGTGGGGGAGGTACCAGAAGGTGTGGACCGATATATTACATCTTAACGCCAGACCTTGGGTTAATATAAATATTGGGATGTGTGAAATTTGAAGACAATCGGACACTTACATAACATTTTATGAGAGTTGTAATTATTCAAAATTTTGACCATTTGTGGGGGAGGGACTTGATGGAGTGGACCGATATTGTCCATTTTCACACCTGTCCTAGCACTAATGCAAATATTAGGATTTGCAAAGTTGGGGCAAAATCTGATTATCTTTCCTCTTTCTGTGCAAAAAATATATTTTTTGAGAATTTCGACCTTTTGTGGGGGAGGTACTTGATGGAGTGGACCGATATTGCCCATCTCCGAACTAGATCTAAGTTTGACAAAAATATTACGATGTACCAAGTTTGGACCAAATCGGATGCTCCCTTCCGACGGACGGGCGGACATCGCTGGATCGACTCCAAATGTTATGAAACGGATGTGGTCCAAAGAGGCCTAGGGTTTAAAACCGTTATTTAGACTAGGCACGTTTTGACCGTATCAAATGATATATACCCTCTGTAGCCAGGCTTATATTCTGACGGGCCATAATGATTACAAATTAACATGGACAGACGGACGGACATACATATCTAGATCGACTCAGCTCGGGGAGATAGGAAGATCTATATATAATTTTCTATGTCGGGGACCAATAATTCGTGGTGTTATATAATTGTTCGCCCAATTAAACTTAATGTCAGAAAGTTGCCAGAAATCCTTTAATTAATCATTTTCAATATTCTAGAAATCTATTCCCTATAAATAAATTATATCATAATAATTGTTTCGTTTCATACCACTGTGCCTAAAATTATTTCGAACAGTGACAAAGCCAAAAATAGGCCAATTATTAAATCTTATCTTTTTGGGTGTGAAATTTCAACAATTTATTTATTTTTTTTTTTTTATTTTCAAACACTTGTCACTTTCAGAATATAGCTGAATATTGAAAATAGTTTTGGCTGCGATATTTGTCAATGATAACACATTCCTATAATCCATTAAATATGTTACGTTTGATAATAATCAGAGTTACTCTATTATTTGCAGAACATTTTTCATCGTCAAACCAATTGACTGATCGTGGCTGGTGATAGGAGTGTGGCGGGCCTCATGACCATACCGTATGCGCATGCATGTTGCAATGTAATTTAATACCGAAAAGCCATCATCATTAGCAATGATGATAAGGATTTTATGACTATGAACGGGGAAAATTGAAATGGTCATATTTGGATTGCAGGACTGCGGTGGAATGATTAGTTTCAGCGACTACGCCATCATATAGAGCAACAAATAATGTATCATAAAAACAAAAACAAATCCCTCACATGAAGGTGTGTGTTTTTCAACTGATAACCACTACCTGCTGCTCCTACACTCAGGTTCGACTGACAATGCTGCCAAAACACTGACTAATTTTCCAATAGACCACTCTACAACTACAACTACTTAACACTCTGCCGATAATTTCGACAATGGAAAAATTACCAACAATGTGTAATCTATTTCGTTGGTTAGTTAGGTTCGATAATGTGGTCATTAATACACAGCCTGGCTGACTGAGTGACGATGAAGGGTGTCAGCAAGGGTGGCATAATTAACAAAAAAAAAGAGAAAATTCTAACTGCCATGGCATGGCATTCATCATTCAGTCATAGGTATTCGTTCAATGGACATGTTTGCCACGTCTCAAGGAGAACCGCTGTTACGGAAGAACACCTCGGCGGCCATTATCGAAAACGACAATATTCGCGCGAATGCCATACAAATCGAACGCTACGAACAGATGCAACTGAAGCGAAAGTGTCGCACAAAAGCCCTGTTAATTATTTTAGTGTGTCTGTGTGTAACGGGTTTCCTAACATGGCTATATATCGATCATACGGTGCCGGAATTCAATCAATATCGTTTGGTGAAAAGTTTCGAAGAGACCCCCTTGAACTATGGCAACAACAACAGCGGCAGTGATAATGACCAACCACGCATAATTCTGTTATGGAATAGTTTCTTTGGCGATGAACGTTGGTCTCTGCCCGACGATTTAATTGATCCGGCATATTTCCACAAGGAGCTGCAGTGTCCTGTCTCGAATTGTGTGCTAACCAATCGCCGCGATCTATTTCCACAAATACAAATGTACGATGCCATATTGTTTCATACCGCCCAACCATTTCCTGTAATCAATTCAGTGCCTTCACAACGCAGCGGACGTCAGTTGTATGTCTTTGCTTTGATGGAACCGCCGGGCGAGACAAAACACATACTATCGGATGAGAGGGATTTCTATAATTTAACCATGACATATCGTACAGATTCGGATATCATTTGCGCCTACAATTGGTTTGTCGACAAACAGACGGGTATGCGCATCCTACCAACGGAATATCCAAAATGGCGTCCTGTTCCGAATATCTACAATGATACGGCAATTTGGAGGCTATGGCCAAATAAAACGAAGACAGCTGCTTGGTTTGTTTCGCACTGTGAGACATTGTCGAGACGTGAACAGTTGACGGCAGAGTTGCAAAAATACATCGATGTTGATGTCTATGGAAAATGTGGACCCATGAGGTAAGTTTTTGATTTAAAGGAGAGATATTTAAAATTATCGTATTCCGCATGAAACTGGACAAGTGAAAAAGGATTAAGCTTCTCAGTATCCACTTTTGAATACTCCCATAACGCGGAAGGAATTTACAAACTAATAAAAAAAAAAACAAAACAGTAGGGAAGACAAAAGTCGGGCGGTGCCGAAAATAAGCAAATAAGCGTTCATATTGGCAATTTAGGTTTACGTATGTGATTTCCACTGACGGATAGATGGACAGACGGACGGTCATCGCTAAATCGACATAGAATTTTATGCTGAACAAGAATATATATACTTTGTGGGATCTAAAATGTATATTTCGAGGTGTTACAAACGGAATGACAAACTCAATATACATACTATGGTGGAGGGTATAAAAATATGGGAGCTACATACATATCTGAACCGAAATTTGACACACTTGATTCTAGGCTAAATTTGGTAGTCTCTGCCAAAATTCATCCAATTTGGCCTAATAGTACACATTTGACGAACAATATACTTTAAATTCAACGAATATGTATGGCAGTTATATCCAAATCTGAGCCGATCTCAAAATTTTGCAGAGGTATTTCTGAGCTGCATCTGATATCTGGTACAAAATATTACTGTTGTGGAGTGTATATGGGGGCTATAGCTATAACTAAACCGATTTTCACCACATTTTTAAGTACTTGCTTCCGTGATAAATTCGATTGGATGTGCCAAAAACCATTCCATTTGGATGAATAATACACATGTGGTGCACAATAAAATTGAAATCGGACGAAAATTTATATATGAGCTATATCTAAATATGAACCGATATTCACCAAAATTGCCAGACATACTTTTGGACCGAGCCTGGCCGTGTGTGCTGAAATTCATTTAATACTTATAAAATCGGACGACTCTATATTAGGGAACTACATCCAAATCTAATCTGATTACCACAAATTTCAATAGCGCTTGTTCTTGGGCCGAAAATTCATCTCAATCAGACAATAAATGCGATCTGTACTTTGTTTACAAAAATACATGGACAGACGGACGGACATGCATAAATCGACTCAGAATGTGATTCTATGAAGATCATTAATAGGAACTAGGAACTCGCTTCCTTCTCCATGTTACCAACAAATGCAAAAGTACATAATACCCTGTACCACAGTTTGTGTGGTGTCTGGTATAAAAAAAAAGAAATCCGTTGAAAAATACTGCTAAAATCATCAATTTAAGGAGGTAGACGTATATGTAGGCTATACGATGACGTGGACTTGCATGAGCAATTTTCCGTCATAGGCTGTAGTAACTGTTAGAATCTTCAAATTTCAAATTACCGTCCAATATTTGAAGCTTAAATAGAATACTCTGGAATTTTTGGGCCGATCCGACCCAAACACAACCCGCTATTCTAAATAATCTTTTTTATATCCTGGCTACAGAGGGCAAATATCATTGATACCGCGAAAACTTGCCTCATTGAAATAACGGTTTTAGTTCTAGAGCTCTTTGGACCAAATATCAGGATATTTGGAGTCGATCAAGGGGTGTCCATCCATCTGTCTGTCTGGCGCATTGATAACTATCCATCATCAAGAATTATTCAATTTTATGCAAACTTTGCAATACTCAATATTTTATTAGTGCTAGGTCAGGTCTGAAAATAGACCATATTGGCCCAATCCATCAAGTTCCTCCACCACAAAGGTTTAAAATTGTTCATAGTCAGAACTTTTATAAAATGTGAGTACTTTTATAAAATAAGAGCACAATTGTCTTCAAATTTTTTCGTATCCCAATATTTTTATCGACACAAGGTCTTATGTGAAGTAACCCGTCTTCACATAAGACCTTGTGTCGATAAAAATACTGGGGTTCCAAAAATTTTGAAGACAATTGTGGTCTTATTTTATAAAAGTACTCACATTTTATAAAAGTTCTAACTACTTATTCTGGCGGACTACATATCCTGGTACCTTCTGGTACTTCCCCCACAAAGGGTCAACATTTTGAATAATTATTTCTCTTATAAAGTATAATAGCTACCGTCCTAGCAATAAATGATTAATATACAGGGTGAGATGAAAAACTGCAATAAAGTCAAACGCCATAATATCGGAAATAGCATCAAATTTTAGAATAAGTTTAGATTTGTTCGAATTGGTCACTTTGACACGAATTATGACCTTCAAACGGCCAATGAAACCATCACACGCTGCCCGAATATTGCTATGCGGTATTTTGGCCCATATCCGGCGAAGCGCTTGCTTGAAGTATTTTTGGTATTTTTTAGTACCAACCGTGCTTTCCAAAATACTCCAGACGCAATAGTCTAACGGATTGGTATCCGGAAATTTTGGTGGCCATTTTGCGCATGAAATGAAGCGAGGAATCTCATTTTGTAGCCATTCTTGGGTGGTGCGTGCTGAGTGCGATGGTGCTGAGTCCTGTTGAAATGTCCAAGGTCTGCGGTCAAAATGTTTGCGTGCCCAAGGCTTTAATACACCCTCCAGAAAATTTACGCGATAGTATTCGGCATTTTTTCTGATTCCACGGTCGATTAATACGAGCGGAGAGCGACCATCGTCTGTTATGGCGGCCCACACCATCACCATGGCCGGCGCTTAAGTTCTGTTGGCCAACTGAGGGTACACATTTTCAGTTGACCTCTTCGGCAAGTAAATTTTCCGAATAGAATATTGCGATAGGTTCAGCTCTCGAATCACCTTTCGGCCACTGCGACGCGGTTTCGATCAAGTCGCTTCTTTACTTTTCGAACCATTTCTGCTGATGTTGCTATTTTCTTCTGTCCACTTCCTTGACGTCGGGCTACGCTACCAGTATCACGGATACGAGCGATGGTACGAGACACAAAATATTTATTCACATTTAAATGATGGAATGCTCTAACGATAGCCACTTGTGGTTTTCCAGCCAAATATAAAGAAATTACACTATCACGCTTGAATTCTTTTTTCTGGAAAATTCTCACCAAAATGCTTTTGAAGGCTTATAAACAATATAATGAGCTTTCACTGGAATAATTTTAACCGCAGTCGAACGAGAGGCTTAGAAATGGCAGCAGTCTGAAATTGGTTTCAGTTTTTTCATCTCACCCTGTAGGTCCATGAATAATGATATCGTCCTTGTTGTTTAAAGTTCTATGTGGAATCTGGAATTATCAACCGAGCAAAACCATTATAAAGTGTTTCTTATTTTGCGCCAACATTCGTCATTCGAGAATACAACTTCCGCTAGTCCGACAAGACTTCAATGTTTGGGGTCCATATGTAATTATTCCAGCTTGGTAATAAAACTATTAACGTCAGGACTCTGTCAAATCACGACTATAAACACTACGCCTAAGCTGATCTAAAAAGCATACCATCAGTTGTCCTGTAAATACTTTTTTTAAAAACTATCTTTAGGACTCGTTTATATTAAATAATATATATTCTTAAATTAATTAATTAATACATTTTCTTTCTTTTTTCTTTTACAGCTGCCCAAATGGTTCACCGGAATGCGATCGACTACTGGATGAAAAATATCAATTTTACTTTTCCTTTGAGAATTCACTTTGCATTGATTACATAACGGAAAAACTCTACAAAATTATGAAACGCAATATTATACCCGTCGTGTATGGCGGTGCGAATTATAAGCAATTTTTACCACCACATTCCTATATAAATGTTGAAGACTACTCCACCCCAGAGGAATTGGCCAACTACCTGAAATTTGTGGCGGAAAATCCTATCGAATATATGCGTTATTTTTGGTGGCGCGAACACTATGAGCTACGCTTCTTTTCGCCATTCTGTGAGCTGTGTCAAAGATTGCATCAATCTCAATATTATTTGAAAACTCAAAGCTACAGTGACATCGAGCGATGGTGGCTGCAGGGAAGTTGTCGCTTCAAGTCACGCATTAAATTCTAAAGAATTATTTTTTTAAATAAAAATCAAATTAATTTCTAGTCTAAGCAATTATCTATAAGAGATCTTTTTAATTGTTGTAAATCAATTTTTTTGTTTTTGTGTTTCAATTAGACCTAATGCTAAACACATGCATACGATACTTGTAACCTTGTTTCCTGTAACTGGCATACGTAAATGATGTGATATAAAAATGTTATTTCTTTTTCTATAAAATACACAATTACAAAAAAGAAAAAAAACAATGTAATTTTATAATTTTTTTTATAATTTTATTAGCTGATCGGCAATATGCCGAATATCGGGAAATACCATTTTATGAAACCTTTAGCATAAACCGATATATAAATTCATAAATTTGAATGCTGTTATGCGAATAGTTACTGGTGCAAAAATATACCACTAGGCCTATTATTTGGTAATCAGAAGATGACCAGTTCAGCACAAAATTCTGTGTCGATTTAGCAATGTCCGTCTGTGGAAATTACTCTAGCTTCCGTACAAAATGAAGTAAGTTGATAAAAATTTACTCAAATGTGTTTTATGTCTGCAGGACATTTGGTATTGAAAATGGGCCATGTCCACGTCTTCGTATAGCCCCCATATAACGGTACCCCCAATATTCGGTATTTTCGTGATTTAAGCGACATTATTTTCCGGAAACGTAACAAATTTCGCATTTGAAGTTCGTAATGGATACCACAGCCTATGACAGAAAATTGTGTGTGCAGGTCCACGTCTTCGTGTAGCCCCCATGTCTTCGTGTAACCCCCCGATATTCGATATTTTCATGATTTCAGCGACATTATTTACCGGAAATGTTACAAATTTCGCATTTAAAGTTCGTAATGGATACCACAGCCCATGACAGAAAATTGTGTGTGCAGGTCCACGTCTTCGTGTAGACCCATGTAACGGTACCCCCCGATATTCGGTATTTCGATGATTTTAGCGACATTATTTACCGGAAATGTTACAAATTTCGCATTTGAAGTTCGTAATGGATTCCACAGTCTATGACAGAAAATTGTGTGTGCAGGTCCACGTCTTCGTGTAGCCCCCATGCAACGGTACCCCCGATATTCGGTATTTTGACGATTTTAGCACATTATTTACCGGAATTATTTCAAATTTTGTATTTGAAGTTCGTAATGAATACTACAGCCTGTGGCAGAAAATTGTCTGTGCAAGTCCACGTTTTATAACCCCAATGGTACCTCCCTATATTCGGTATTTTGATGATTTTAGCTACATTATAAACAGATTTTTTTTTTCAAGTTTCGCATTTGAATATTGTAATAGCTTATGAAAAAAGTTGCGTATACAGGTCCACGTCGTCGTATATACCCTAATATACGGCTACTTTCGGTATTTTAAAAATTTTAACAGAATTTTGACGGATTTTATTTTTTTGAAAATTGACAAATTTTTACCAAATTGTGGAGGGTATTCAAAGTTCGGCCCGGCCGAACTAACAGTTTTTTTTACTAGTTGAAATTTGGTAAGTACTTACTTCTTATGACATTTCCATCGTAAAATAAGGGTTTGTGTTAACAAAATGAATTTAATGAAGCCATTTTTATACCCTACATCACATAGTGGGCAAGGGTATTAAGTCTTTGGGCCTTTGTTTGTAACATGGAGAAGGATGTGAGATTGACCCATAGTATATTTTGAGGATCTACATAGAATCACTTTCTGAGTCGATTTATGCATGTCAGCCCGTCTCTCCGTCCGTCTGTCCTTGTATTTTTGTGAACAAAATGCAGGTAGCATTTATTATCCGATTGAGATGAAATTTTGCAAACAATATTTGTTTGGCCTAATGACGAACTTTATTGAAATTGGTAAGAATAAGTTCAAATTTAGATATAGCTCCCATGTATATCTTCAACCGATTTCGGGTTAATTGTGTACCAAATGACCAATATCAGCCCAAATGACCTGAATTTTTTGGCACAACCGACCGAATTCAGTTTAGAAGCAAGTACATCAAATTTGGTGAAAATCGGTTTAGATGTAGCTTTTACTCTCGTATATATGTTTCATCCGATTTGGTATTTATTTAAGTCCCTCGTATTCGTAATATACATTCCACAACAATGATATTTGGAACCAGATATCTTACAGAGCTCAGAAATAACTTTACCAATACCCATAATATCCTTAATCAATACCCATAATATCCTCAGGTTTATTGTGCAAATAATGGCTAATATCCGTTCACATGGAGCGAATTTCGGGACGTACGTTTCGATTTGATATAGCTCGGCACCAATACATATTGATACCCTACAACAAAAGGTGGTCAGGAAATTATGTCTTTGTGCATTTGTTTGTAACAGGCAAAAGGAAACGAGATAGACCCATAGTTCCTTTTGATGATCTGCATAGAATCACATTCTGAGTCGATTTATGCATGTCCGTCCGTCTGCCCATGTATTTTTCTGAACAAAGTACAGTTTGCATTTATTACCCGATCCAGATGAAATTTTGCGCAAATCATTTTTTTGGCCCAAGGACGAACCTTATTGAAAATGGAGATAATCGGTAAAAATTTAGATATAGCTCCCATATATATCTTCGTCCGATTTTTCTTTTATTGTGCACCAAACGTGTAATATCAGCCTGAATAGTATGAAATTTTGCAGATACAACCAAATTAGGCCTGAAAATGAGTATACCAAATTTAATCGAATCGGTTCAGATATAGCTATAGCTCCAATATATATTGTTCATCTGATTTGTTATGTTAGTCCTCAGCAGCCGTAATATGCATTCCGTAACAACTATATTTGGGGAAATATATCAAATACAGCTCAGAAATACCTTTGCTAAATTTAATCGAGATCGGCTCGGATTTGGATACAGCTCCCATATATAACTTCGTCCGATTCACCTTTTACTGTGCACCAAACGTCTAATATTTGCCCAAATTGGATAAAATTTGGCACTTACGACCGTCTAGAAGCTAGTATGTCAAATTTGGTGAAGATCGGTTCAGATATAGGTATAGCTCCCATCAATATTGTTCATCCGATTTGTTGTATTTGTTACCCACAGCCGTAATATGCACTCCGTAACAACGATATTCAGGGAAATATATCAGAAATACATTTGCCAAATTTTATCGAGATCGGTTCAGATTTGGACATAGCTCCCATATATAACTTCGTTCGATTTATCTTTTATTGTACACTAAACGACTAATATTTGTCCAAATGGGATGGCATTTGGCACTTACGACCGAAGCTAGTATGTCAAATTTGGTAAAGATCGGTTCAGATATATCTATAGCTCCCATATATACTGTTCATCCGATTTGTCATATTTGTTACCCACAGCCGTAATATGCTCTCTGTAATAACGATATTCAGGGAAATATATCAAATACAGCTCAGAAATATCTTTACCAAATTTTATTTGAGATCGGTTCCGATTTGGCTATAGCTCCCATATATATCTTTATCCGATTTCAAATTAATTATGCAGCAAATGGGCAATACAAGTCCGGCATATTTAGTCTTTGGAACTTTAAATTATACTTATAATCATAGCGTGTATGATTGAATTATCCCATAAAAACTTTTAATTGTTATGTGGAGCTCTACTAAATTAGCAAAGCGGTGTAGGGTATCATAAAGTCGGCCCCGCCTGACTTTAAGACTTTCTTTACTGGTTTTATTTAAAAACAATTCATTTGTTTGTATAATTAAAGAAATTGTAACAGAAATTTTAATCGATAAAAGGTTATGGAAAAGGCCTTAGTTCTTCTTCAATTTCATATATTCAAATTTAACGGTCATTTAACGAAAACATTTCCCGACATGCGCAAAGCGCAACCCAAATTCTTCCTTGAACTTCATTGATGACATTTAGCACACTTCATTGCTTTGCACACAAATTCCAAACTTAGAACTCGAGCATGCGCCGTGAGCACGCCTTAAACATAAATGTCAAATGTCACCTGAGGTACATTCTGTTGTTGTTGTGCAACCCTTAAGGACAAATGTCACAACAAAACAAAGTAACAAAAAACAACAACTTGTAAATGTCAGATGAAAAAAAAAAACAACCCCCCTTTATGGAGAACTTTTTCGAAGTAACACAAAAAGCTCTTGCCAACAAACCCTTTTGAGTCTTAGATGTGAAAACTTTTGTGGGAGCAAGAATTTTTCATCATTCAGTGTAGAATTTTCCGATAACTCATACGTGGTGGTGATACGTAACCAAAAAGTGTGGCAAAAAAAGTGAAAAAAATATAAAAAAATTACAAAGAAATTAAAAACTATTGCAAAAGTTAATCAAGAGAATTTAATGATTTTCAATTTTTTCAATTCCTATTAACGAAGAGAGACGTAAGTTTTGATGTTTAAGGCGATTTAAAATTGAATGGAATTTTGCCAAGAATTAAGAACTGCAAAGATTTTCCAAGGAATTGTTAAATTTTTGTAAATGTTCTTTGCCTTGAAAAGCGGAGCATAAGAGGCTATTTGGCTACTTTGAGAATGGTTAAGGGAAAAAGTAAATTGCTTAGTTGATTTTAATTGGTTTTAAGTGGCAATAATTGAATTGAAAATTCTTTACTTTGAGATTTAATCGATTTTTCCCTTTACCCTAAAAAAAAGAAGCAAATTTTTTCATATGTGTCTCTGTGTGTGTGTGTCTCTAAAGGAATATAGATTTTCCTGTATCTGCTGTGTCGTTCATCGCCGTTGTTGTAGTCTTCGTCGCCGTTGTTGTAGAGCCGAGAAAAAGTGCGTGAGTGTGCTTTTTTCGTAATTTGCCAGTCTCTTAAACATGCTCATTCGTTCGTAATTGCCTATTGCTTTTTGTGCCATTCATTCGCCTACTTTTCGAAGTAGCGGTATTATTATGATTATGTTTTTTTTCGATTCTCTGTGACACACTTTGTGTCACACATACATACTTGCCTAATAACTGAGCCCGAGCGACGAACAATAACAGCAGTCCAGTGGTGGTAGTTCGTTGGCTGGTTGTGTTCGAAAAGCCAAACACATGTTTGAAGTAATGCGGAAACCAACCAACAACCTCCACCATGTATGGTGAATTCTAAAGTGAATCTATTATCTTCTATCAATCATTGTCTTAGAGACCAAAACCCCCCGCCTCCCCACACCCAAATCGAAGACATCCGGGGAAGAAAAGTGGGTTGCATGCTCTTATAAACGTATTTATGGTTTGTATTATTGCCAATAAGGAAAATTAAGAAGAAGAAGATGATGGTGATGGCATGGGTGAGTTGGCTAAAAATAAGACCATGAAAACTTCCTTACGCATTACATGTACATAGAATGTCCTTCAAGGTTCTGTGTCTTTTTATTTTGTTCAATGTTGCCTTCATTATCCTTCCATAAATGTTTTGTCCTCTGTAGATACAACAAAATGCCATAACCAATATTCCCGAAAAAAAAAACACATAAATTTTAAAAAAATTTTCAAATTTCAAATTAAAAAAAATATTTTCTCTCTCTCATCCTCCGTTTAGACCGTTTTTCGATGTCTCCCCAATTAGAGAATGCTTAAGTTACCCAAAGGTCTAAAAAAGAAAAAGAAGAAGTCCAAAAAGGATCAAGAACTTTTCACCGAAGAAGAACTAGCAGAGTACAAACGCCAACTAAAGGCCAAGCAGGAGGCTGCTGCTGCTAAATCAGATGCCGGTGAATCCGATGCAGCATCAGATGTTGAAGGTTTAGCAACAACAGCTACAACATCAAATACTGCTTCGACCTCTGAGTTAGCGCACGCGAACGCTGAATCTGCCAGCCAAAGGAACGAGGAATCCGCAAACGGTTCTCAGGCGGCTGCAACAACAACCACCACCACCACAACAGCCGAAGACGACGAGTGGGCCAAATTTAAGGCACTCACCTCGAAGGTTGATACAGTTCTCCACAAGACCCAGGACGAGTTAGATCACATCAAAAAAGAGTCCTTCTATCAACGTCTTCCCTCGGCAGCCGAAAAGAAACGTCTCGAAGAAGAGGAGGCAGCCAAACGTGAGGCCGAGCGTTTAGAGGAGGAGAAACGCAAGGCAGCCGAGCTCGAAGCCCAGCGTGACAAGCTAGCTGAGGCTGTTGTTGAGCTCTCGGAATCGGAGGCGGAAGACGACGCCGAGGTTGATGATATTTTTGTCACCGAATACGTTGATGCCATAACTAGCGGAGAGGTCCAGCTAGCCGTTGTTCCTGATTCTCCCGTCCTAGAATTTGACGACGGTCCCGATCCCTTTGATACTGCCTACGCTGAAAAGGTAATTGTTGGGGCGGATAAGGCCAAGGGCAACAAGAAATTGGTCAGCCTTGGGGCGGCCGTTGAAGTCCTTTCCGGTAGGGTAGAACGTGAAAAGGCCCTTGAACTTGCCAAGCCAAAAAGGAAGCTACGCAAGGGCATTAAAAACCTTCTGCTCAGCGATTCTGTTGATCTTGCCGATGCCGATGAGGAGGATCTCATTGCCCCAGAGCCACAAATAAATCTCTTGGATGAACTGGTCGATGATGTACCAGACGCCCCCATTGATCTAAGCGTTTCGTTACATTTGAATTTCATACAACCCAAGAAGCCACCATCTGAAGACGAGGACGAAGAACCGGAGCCTGCACTGCCCGATTTATCGGAATTCGATACCCTCAAGGATCCAGAGGATGATGAATTTGCTGAATTAGCGGCGGAATCATTGAACAAAAAAGAAGAAGTAAAAGTTATCACAGAAATACCATTGCCCCAGGCAGAGGTCCTAAGCGATTTTGCAGCTGCCGATTGGGCGGAATTTGAGAAACTCCCCGAGGAGGAAGAGAGTGGTAACTAATCACATATTTTTCCCTTAAAATTTATTAATTTCCCCTTTTCTCTTTCAGGTAAACCCAAACGTCCACCTCCCCCCAATCTACCGCCCGGTGTCGTTTTCATCAGCGACGACGAGGAAGAGGAAAATCAAGACGACGATCCCTTCAACACCAACTACGCCGAAGTTGTAATCAAAAAGACCACAGTACTCGAAGAAGACGACGAATTTGATCCCAGGGCTGAGGAGAAGTCAGCTCCCCCCGAACGTCCTTCACCACCCTCGGTCATAACTAAAATCCTATCGGAAAAGGCCGAGGTTGATCCATTCGACACCTCTGTGGTGGGTGTAATAATTCAGGCCTCCAAGACTACATTAAAACAATCGTTAAGTGATCCCGATTTTGATCCCCGGGCAGACGAAGAACCCGCACCAGCACCGGCAGCAGCCGCCACAAAGGCACCACCTCCAAGGCCACCACCAGTTGTACAGGCCATACCCCAGGGAGAGGAATTTGATCCGGTGCGTCGCAAGTCATCCCTCAGCCTAACCCTTAAGAACAAGGCAGTTGGTTTCTTGGTACCAAATCCCGATTTATTGGGCGCAGCAGAGGGTGCTAGCAACAACAAGAAACCGCTAACACCTTACTACGCTCCCAGTGAGGCAGGATTCAGTGATAATAGCCAAGTAGAGGATCCATTCGATACCTCGTACGTACCCGAAGCCAAACCAACTGAGGTTGAGCTCAAACACTTGGAACACGATCTGTTGTCGAATCCCACACTAAAGCATAGCATTTCGGATCCTGACTTTGATCCACGGGCACCACCCACACCAGTACCTGCTGAAGATTTATTGGCCGTAAAGGAGGATATTGCCATAAAGGTCTTGACACCGGCCCAGGAGAGTAAAGATTTGCCTGACGAGGAGTACATCGATCCATTTGATACATCCATTGCGGCCGACATAAGGCCTGGCCAGACGGAACTTAAACTTTTGGAAAACGAACTGCTGCCACAGAGAGAGGCGGAAATAACCACAGGCGTTTTAGATACCCAAACCGACGCCCAGGAACTGGGTTTGGGGGATAAGGTGTTGACACCCCAACTACCCCACAAGAACATAGTTGTTGCTGAGGAAATTGATCCCTTCGATACCTCAATTGCTGAAAACCTACAGCCCGGAGAAACCGAAATTAAGCTGTTGGAAAACGAACTCATAGAGCACTAAACGAACTACTCATACACACGCGCAGAGAAACTTCTCTACAAAAATGGCAAATCCCTTTTTAATGGACGATGATTTGGGGGGTATGGGAGATGACCCCACCGTCAATCCATTCCTCGTACAATCGGGCGCCACGGATAGCGGCACGGACAATGACAACCCCTTTGGCTCCGAAGCAGCCGTAAATCCATTTGCCTTTGGTGACGATGGTGATGCCGAAGCCGATGCCCAAGTGGCCGATATTGATCCGGCAATGAGCTTCTTTGGCACCACCATTGAAGCTGAAGATGATGTGCTGAGCATTAAATCCACAGCCGATGAAGAGGAGGACGCCAAACCAAAGGGTCCTCCCCCCAGACCGGTACCACCCCAAACCCAAGAACTCATCACCACTGTGTCACATCAAATGGAGGAGGCCAGCTCCGAACTGTTGGGTCGCATACCGGCTACACGCTCACCCAGTCCTGTATCAATGCGGGACTTGCACTCGCCTAGCCCCACACCAGACAGTGGCTTAGCCGACCTCCTTGATTGTTCGGACAGTGGTTCATCGGCCAATACGCAGGGCTTCGATGCGGACCTGATTGGTTCGGGACAAAATCCAGGCCTTGTCGATAATCCCTTTGGCATACCCACGGGTATTGGAAATCTGCAAGGCGTTGCTCCGCAAGCCTCACCTGCCAAACAACAACCTCCCAGACCTCCACCACCCAGACCTGCTCCGCCGCGACCAGCACCACCAAGTGTGCCAGGTCAGCATGGCCAACCAGGTCCACCACCCAGGCCAACACCTCCAGCAGTATTAGCTCAAAACGATAAAGCCCCCAAATCGGAACCAGATGATCTCTTCATGTTTGATGCCGGTCCGCCTGCCAAACCCCCAGCTCCCAAGACCAAGGAAGACATACTTAGTCTCTTTGACAAACCAGCAGCACAGCCAGCAGCCAAACCAGACCTGCTAAGCGACGATTTGGTGTTAGATCCCACAGCAGCCGAACCTGAGGCGGCAACCAAAGAACCAAGTTATGAAGGCGTTGAAGATCCCATCTTCAATTCGGTCTTAACACGGCCCGACGAAAGTACTCACAACATAACTTCAGAGCCCCAATCGGCTCAACCACTGCATGGAGCAAATAATCGCATTGCTCCGCAGGAACTAAGCAATAAGCAAAGGGCTCCCACGCCCGACATAGAAATAACCACAGTAGAAGATTTACCCCGCTCAGATGATGAAGAGGAAGAACCAGAACCTCCAAAACCAGAAGCAACAAAAACAGCAGAACCTGAAGCCGAACCTGAACCGGCGGCGGAAACACAACCCAAGGTTGAACCATTGCGTGATGTCCCCGCTTTGGTCATTGAAACTGAACCAACGCCACCTGCCGAGGATGAAGATGACGACAAATCCATAGTACCTAAAAGTGGTGATTCCGATCAAAGTCCTCCCACTGAATCCGCTTCCCATGTGGGGGCCGATTCGCCAGTGGAGGGTGGCATGTCAGACATTGCAGCCAGTGAAATAACTGGCCATGAGAATATGATCGAAGACATGGACACCGGCTTGGATTTTGCACCACCCAGTGGCACAGCATCGGCCAATCCATTTGCCAGTCCCGATGCGGAGGAGGAAACATTCCCTCCTGCCGGCATGGTAACAAATATATTTGCTGCCGATGACGCGGGCGCTGAGAATATCTTCACAACCATGGCAGACACGGTTACCACATCAGCCGGCGAGAATATTTTCACCTCAATGGCCGATACGGCCACCGTTAGTGTAGCTGAAAATATATTTACCTCAATGACTGATACAGCCCCCGTAGCGGAGAATATTTTCACCTCAATGGCTGATACAACGGCTGCCGAAAATATATTTGCTGCTGACGATAGCGTGGCGTACACAACAGCTGAAAATATATTCACCACAATGGCAGATACAATGACCACAACAGTTGCTGAGAATATTTTCACTTCAATGGCCGATACAGCTGCGGTGCCAACAGCTGCCATCAATATATTCTCTGCCGATCCAGAACCTGAGGTGGATACAGCTCAGTCGGCCTATGGCACGAATATCTTTGCCGAACCCGATGAATTCGATGCATTTGCTGCCAAATTTGAATCGGTCAAAAAGGATAATATTAGTATTTTAGATGGTTTCGGTGGTGGCAGTGTAGGCGGTGGAGGTTCGGGAGCTGTTACACCTACTGTCGATGGTGAGTATATTGTTTGGTATTCTGCTAATTTTTGGTTTACGTTTGTGGTAAGATGAAGAACGTTTTTTTTTCTGTGACAAAGATAATGGCTTTTATTTTTTTTACACATTTCGTGCATCGATAAATTATCTTTGGAACCAAATTCATATATCATGGTACCTCCATGCACATCTATATTCGATTTTTACATCAACTTCAAAAGCATTACCATAATATGCATGACTTGTAGTATAGGCTCCGGACAAGAAGAATTGCCGAGTGTTGGAAAACCACTAGGAATTTATTAGTCGGTTCACCAACAGATCAATACCCTCAGCATGTGATCAATTATATATAAATGTCCAGGGTGAGATAAAAAAACTGCATCCAAGTCAAAGGCCATAATTTTTACATTTTTTTTAATGTTATTGAATGGAAGCAAAAAATGTCGGAAATAGCATAAAATTTTTGCTCTGCGGTATTTCGGCCCATTCCCGGCGAAGCGCTTGTTTGAGGTAATCGGCACTTTGGTATTTTTTAGTGCCAACCTTGCTTTCCAAAATACTCCAGACACAAAGTCCAACGGATCGGTATCCGGAGATTTTGGTGCCCAATTTTGTAACCAAACTTGAGTGGCGCGTGCTGAGTGCGATTGTGCTGAGTCCTGTTGGAATGTCAAAAGTGTGCAGCCAAAATGTTGGCGTACCCAGATAATTAATTGGCATTTATTCCGATGCCACAGTCGATTAATACAAGCGGAGAGCGACATCGGCTATTATGGCGGCTTACACCATCACCATGGCCGGTGCTTGAGTTCTGGTGGCCAACTTAAGGTGCACATTTTCCAAATGGAATATTGCGACATGTTCAGCTCACGAGCCATTTTGCGGCCACTGCAACGCGGGTTTGGATCAAGTCGCTTCTTTACTTTTCGAACCATTTCTGCTGATGTTGCTGTTTTCTTCCGCCCACTTCCTTGACGTTAAAAAATATTTCAAAATCCATTTAATGGAAAGATATCCTTGAAAAAATTGGCCCGGTAGTCTCTAAAAAATATTTATTTTAGGAACATATGATGGCGGAGGAACAATTTCTTTAAAAAACACGGTTAATATTTTATGACTTCACAAATATTGTCCTTCAAAGCTTTAATTGTATCTGACTGGTGGGCGTAACTCTAATATTTGACTGCACCTCACAAATAATAGTCCAACATAGACAAATCGCAGGTGATAACGCGATCTTTAAAAATATAAAATTTTCCTGATCACACAATTGAAACCAATCGACACGGAACAGGGAATCTAAAATTTTGGATGACTATTTGATTATATTTAGCTGTACAATGGACCACAACAACTAAAAGCACGACGGAGTGGGAAAATATTGAGCAAATGTCCCTGGTCAAAATGCTAAGAGTAATATCTGGGCAGTGCTCCATGACATAATTTCAAAAGTGAAATCTTCCAAAATAGATTTGGACATAAAGGGGCTCCTAACATTTTGTAGTGTTGTAAGGTATCGGCCTTCGCTTACTTGTTATTTTTTATTATTTCCATTCGAACAGATTTCATTATTTCAAAACAATAGCCCTTCATAACCCCCCCCTCATACAAATCATAATTTTCGTCATATTTTTTCAGCATGGGGAGATAGTGCTTTTGGTACACCCAAATCGGGTGTCGATGCCTTTGGTGATTCGGCTGATGGTTTCGGCAATGATGATGACGAGTTCTATGCCATGAAAGCTCCGGTACGCTCAGAGTCTGTGGAATCAGTTGAAAAAGATTTCAATGTCGTCATCAGACCTAAAACCGAGGGTGCCAGTGCTGTGGCGCCACAATTGGCACCACCACCTCCGACACGTGCCGCACCAGCCGGCCAATATGATGACACCTCGCCGGCAGCAGTAAATCCCTTCGAAGATAGTGGCTTCCCAGCACCAGGTGTAACAGATCCATCCCTCAAACGCACAGATTCCCAGGATACACCACAGACACCCCTGTTCGACGAGGATGTTTCACAGCCACTGGAAGATTTCCCTCGCCTGCATTATGTTGGACCCGGTTGGGAAATGCAATTGCGTCAGCCGAATAAGAAAAAGATAACGGGTCAGAGGTTCTGGAAGAAAATCTTTGTGCGTTTGGTCATACAAAATGATATACCCGTTGTTCAGCTGCTCAATACGGCCAATGATAAGCAACCATTCCAAGAGTTGCCGCTACAGCCCTCGTATTCGGTGTCGGAAATTGGCGCCCAACAGTACGATCAGTTTGGTAAAATATTTACCATGAAATTGCAGTATATCTTCTATAAGGAACGACCTGGAGTACGGCCAGGTCAGGTGACCAAAGCGGAACGCATTACCAATAAACTAACGAAATTTGCACAATATGCCATTGCGGGTGACTATGAGGGTGTCAAGGAGTTTGGCAGCGATTTGAAGAAATTGGGTCTGCCCGTTGAACATGCCCCGCAATCATCACAGCTCTTTAAGGTCGGTTCCATGAACTACGAAGATATGAAACAATTTTCCATATGTATTGAGGAGGCCTTATTCCGCTTGCCCGCCCTCCGAGAACGGGCCTTGACCTACAAAATGGAGGAGGTACAAGTGACGGCCGTCGATGAAATTGTTGTGGAACAGGATATTGAGGGCAAGATTTTGAAACAAATTGCCCGGGTTAGGGTATTCTTTTTGGCGTTCCTAACAGGTAAGGGGTGGACGATTGGGGAGGAGGGTGAAGGATGGTGGAATTATTAATTTTGCTATTTTAAAGGCATGCCCATGATTGAGTTGGGTGTCAATGACATGTGGCGCCAGGGTAAAGAAGTGGTGGGCCGCCATGACATTATACCCGTGGCCACCGAGGAGTGGATACGACTGGAGGCCGTAGAATTCCATAGTGTCGTGGATCAGGAAGAATATGAAAAGTCCAGACTTATAAGGTAAGTTGTAAAGGAGTATTAGAATTTATTTCGCAATTGGATTTTGAAAACCTTGCTGTTCTCCAGATTCCAACCCCCTGATGCAAATTATATTGAATTGCTGCGCTTCCGTGTAAGACCGCCTAAAAATCGTGAACTTCCGCTACAGCTTAAGGCCCAATGGATTGTGACCGGCAACAAGGTGGAGTTGCGTGCCGATATTCTGGTGCCTGGTTTCACATCGCGTAAATTGGGTCAAATACCCTGTGAAGATGTTTCGGTTCGGTTTCCCATACCCGAATGTTGGATATATTTGTTCCGGGTAGAAAAACATTTCAGGTAAGTAAAGGCCGTTTTTTGGTAAAACTATTTTTTCTCTAAATCTGGTATTTGTAAGTTTTGAAAAAGGGGTTGTGTTTGGGCTCATTTTGGAAACACCAATATTCAGCACTGTTGTGTGATTTTTTCGAAAAAATATTTCAGCACCTTTTTTGTGAAAGAAGGCAATGTGTTAATTTTCCTAATAATTCTAATTTTCCTAACTACCACCTTTTTACCTCTCTCAACAAACAAACTTTCCCTTTATTTTTAACGTTTTTTATTTCGTTTCCTCTTCAACTTCAAACAAACCTAAACAAAAACACCCTTTTTTTACACCTAATTTCCTCATTGACACAACATGTTTTTCTTGTCCACAATTTACCACCACCACAACACCAACATTAAATTAAACACACATACAAACAAACCTGGGAAAATACCACCAATTTTAAATATCTTCAATTTTTCTCGTCCTTTGCTTAGTATTTCAACATCATCATGGCCAAATATGAATCAAAGGTAATTTTTTTCTTCGTTTTTTCTAGCAGTCCGAAACAAAAGAACATTGAATCAGGACTGTTTTTATTAATTGTTTAACTTAATTCTAATCAATATTGGAGATACTAATTAATTAAATGTTTTTTAAAAGAATTTATACTAATTGGGGTCGATATGTTTATTGAGTTGTTTTATTAAATTTTAATATCAAAATTTATGAATATTACCGAGCCATAATATTATTAAAATATTATACAAATATTTAAGACACCCTTCCTTAAGCCATCCCACCCCATATTTGTTGATCCATAGAGATCCACAATGTAATCCCACACCTGTTTTCGTCTGCACTTCCCCAAAGTGGTTAGAGATATGCACTGTAAGAAGTCCATAGAATATCGAAAAAGCATAAAATAATTTTGAAAAATGTTTGTTCAACTATAGTATTCAGATTTTCATGTTTACTGACTTTATATCATATTAAGATGCGATGATTTGAGAAAACTTAAAAAATTGTGAAATCTGCTGTGCTACAATTCATATTCCAATATTATGGCCTGTCCATATGCCAAAACCTGTAAAATTGGTAGTTTGTAGTGTTGAAGGCTTTAGACGTAAAGTTCTCAACAACTTGAAATTTGGTCCTAGACTCACTGTGTTGTATATATGTTGGAAATGATCAGTATTACATTTCCCATAATTTTCCAGTCGCTCTACAGGCCACAGTTATACACTAATCGGACAGTATTTAAAGGTTGAAATGGACCCAAACTTTTGTATGAATATTGCGAAATTTCTATACAGTCTCAAACATTTTTGATGCTAAGTTAAATGAAAAGGACATCTCTGACCTCTATATTGATGGACATTTTTTGAACGTATATAGGTAGATATCGGATATATATATAGTATCATATGCAATGAAATCCAAGAATTTAATATTTTTTGAATTCTTATTATTTTATAATTTTATGGCAAGTTTCACAACATTTTGATCTTTGGTGGGGGAGGCACCTGAAGGAGTGGGCCGATCTCACCACATTCACAAGAGATCTTGTGTTGTTAACAATATTGGGATATGTGAAATTTGATGGCAATCGGATGCCTTTTTTCACAGAGGGAGTGGTCTTATATATTCCACCTTCACACCAGATCTTACTTCTGTTGCATCTGTTGCCAATAACCTCCTCTTAAATTGTTGTAAACAAAAATTCCTTTAACATGGTCAGATAACATAACTCCTTGCTCATTTACGCAGAAGAATGACCGTACTACAATCCTAGACAATACATAATGTTGAGTCAACTTTCAAAATTCCCCAATAAAAACAGAGAATGAGAGGTTGGATTTGACTTAGATACGACAAATCTGATATAGGTCATTCAATGTGAATATTTTTTAAAGAAAGTCTATACAAACAGTCATCTAAAAGGGAAATAATCTTTTGAATATTTATACCCGACACCACACTAGGGTACTTTGTGCATTTGTTTGTAGCAGCCAAAATAAAACGAGATAGACCGATATTTGCTTTTGATGACCTTCATAGAATCACATTCTGGCCGCATTTATTGTTCGATTGAGACGAAATTTTGCACAGATAATTTGTTTGGACGAACCCTATTAAAATTAGTGATAATTGGAAAAGATTTAGATATATTTCCATACATATATTTGCCCGATTTAAGCATTATTGTGCACCAAATGCGTAATAAAGACAAAATTTGATAAATTTGAGAACATCCGAACAAATTTAGTCTATAAGTAAGTATGCTAAATTTGTTGCAAATCGGATGTGATATAGCCAACGCTCCCATAGATATGTTTCATTCGAATTGGTGTTTCAGTGCCTCACATTCGTAATATGTGGAATCAGTGATATTTGGTACTAGATATCTGATACTGCTCAGAAACACTTCAGCCAAATTTTATTGGGACCGGTTAAGATTTTGATATAGCTTCGTTTGAATTCAAATATATTGCTCGCCAAATGTGTCGTAATCGCCCAAATGAGATGGATTTTTGCAGAGATATAGCTATAGTTAAATACAGCTCAGATATAGCTATAGTTAAATACAGGATGAGATAGAAAAAACTGCAACAAAGTCACGCGCTATAATTTTTACATTTTTTTAAATGTTATTGGATGAAAGCAAAAATTTCGGAAATAGCATCAAATTTTAGAATAAGTTTAGATTTGTTCGAATTGGTCACCTTTGGCACAAATTATGGCCTTCAAACGGCCAATGAAACCGTCACACACTGCCCGAATGTTGCTCTGCGGTATTTTGGCTCATTCCCGACGAAACGCTAGCTTGAGGTGATCGACACTTTGGTATTTTTTAGTGCCAACCTTGCTTTCCAAAATACTCCAGACACAATAGTCCAACGGATTGGTATCCGGAGATTTTGGTGGCCATTGTGCGCTGGAAATGAAGCGAGGAACCTCATTTTGTAACCATTCGTGGGTGGCGCGTTGGTGCTGAGTGGAATATACAAGGTCTGCGGCCAAAATGTTTGCGTGCGTAATACACCCTCCAGAATATTTTCGCGATAATATTCGGCATATATTCTGATGCCACAGTCGATTAATACGAGCGGAGAATGACCATCGGCTGTTATGGCGGCCCACACCATCACCATGGACGGCGCTTGAGTTCTGGTGGCCAACCGAAGGTCCACATTTTCAGCTGACCTCTTTGGCAAGTAAACACGATAATTTTGTTTGTTTACAAACTGATGGACATCGAATGTTTTCTCATCGGAGAAAACCAAATCCGGCAGTTCACCACTTTCGGCCAAGCGAAGGAACTCTTTAGCTCTTTTGAGTCCTTTTTTTCTTTCTGTTGCGGTGTAAGTTATTGCACTTTTTGAATTTACCCCGAGCTCATTTTTCAATATTTGCCGAATGGAATATTGCGATATGTTCAGCTCACAAGCCATTTTTCGGCCACTGCGACGCGTGTTTCGATGAAGTCGCTACTTTACTTTTCGAACCATTTCTGCTGATGTTGCTGTTTTCTTCCGTCCACTTCCTTGACGTCGGGCTACGCCACCAGTATCACGGTAACGAGCGATGCTATGAGACACATTTAAATGCTGGAGTGCTCTAACGATAGCCACTGGTGGTTTTACAGCCAAATATAAAGAAAACACACTATCACGCTTGAATTCCATTACGAATAACTTTTTTTCTGGAAAATTCTCACCAAAATGCCTTTATACGCCTGTTGTTATAATGAGCTGTCACTGGAATAATTTTAAAAACTGTAGGCTTAGAAATGATAGCAGTCTTGGTTGCAGTTTTTGCAACTCACTCTCTATGTGTTTCCAGCTATTTTCGAAGAACCCTTATGATCGCTTTGATAATGTTTTTTTTTCGTACAAGCGTGTTTAGTGACTTTTTGACACAAAAAATCATTGTCTAAAAATCGTGGAAATTTAATAAAAGTCAAGAGCATCTTGTCACAGTCAAACAGAATACGATTTGAATTCGGCAAAAAGCCGTTTTATTATTTCACATTCTAATTGGCTAATATGTTGATTTTGAGGAATTGCCAAAAATTTCAGATATTGTTTAATTTTGTGGGTGTTGTAGTTCTCTGACAAATTTTGAAAATGAATAAAAAAAGTACAGGAACAGAGCACACAATAAGTCTTACATTTACAATGACTTAGGCTTAAATATTTCCGAATATTCTGTTTCTGATGTATAATTAATTATGAATAACTTATTATTTATGTTACTTATAGACAAGAAACGGAATTCAGATTTCGGGGATTTCAATTAGCAAATTATCAATCACTTTTGTAGTTTCTTAAAATTGGTCTACGTTTTAACACAGGTAATATCGATTAAAAGCGAGGGTCGAGAAAAGTTGAATCGAATAAGATCATGATTTTAACTTGACTACATTATGTTTTGTAATAATAACGAAACGAAATGGACAACTTTTTTTGGATTTTGTCTAACATCAACATAGAAACCACACAATACCAATAGACTTTACAAAAAACTACAGAAATCTGCTCTCTACTCCACTATCTCTATCCTATCAATCTGTAAATTAATTAAATTGACATTCATACTGTCATATACATACATTTGTATATAAACAAATAGTTGAGTGAATTCGAATGGTGTAAAAGTGACACATTTAATAATAAATCATACTAAAGTAAATTAGTGAGAAATTAACAATTAAATAAATAACATTAAAAAAATATTGTATTGACATTAGTTTTGAAATGTAGTTCATTGTTAAATAAAGTTTTGTTAATTTTTACATAAATTTAAAATTAAATTAAAATCAAATCTAAAATTTGCAGTTTTAATAACTCATTTTTAAATAAATAACAATATTTGCCTGCATTTATTTTATTATTAATGATATTTTGTATTTTTTATATTTAATTCCCTTGAGCATTTATAAATTTTCTCCATTCTAGATATGGTTCTGTCAAATCGGCACACAGACGTACCGGTAAAATTAAGGGTATTGAACGAATATTGGGTGCTGTAGATACACTGCAGGAGTCACTTATCGAAGTGACTTCGGGCCAGGCAAAATATGAACATCATCACAGAGCCATTGTTTGGCGTTGTCCACGTTTGCCAAAGGAGGGTCAAGGTGAGTAGTTGTATTTAATGTGCCTAAAAATAGAGGTATTGATAGAAAGTAATATTATAATATCCTAGGGCATAGAACATTTTAAAAATTCAAATATAGATGGTGGTGTAATGAACTATTTTCTGGGAATATTTTTAAGAACTATCAGATTTTAATTTTGCATTTTTAAAGAATATGTTTTAAGGACTAGCAGACCACTACCAGGGATTTTTAAAGAATATTATAAGGACGATCAGACCACTACCATGGATTTTTAAAGAATATTTTATCAAGGACTTTCAGACCACTACCAGAAATCTTTAAATAATAGTTTTTCTAGAACTTCAAGACCGTAATCGTGGATTTTTAAGGAATATTTTTAAGGACTTTCAGACCACTACCAGGAATCTTTAAATAATACTTTTTCCAGAACTCTTAGACCATAATCCTGGATTTTTAAAAAGTATTTTTAAGGACTTTCAGACCACTACCAGGATTCTTTAAATAATACTTTTTCCAGAACTTATAGACCACAATAGTGGATTTTAAAAGAAGCTATAATCGTGGATTTTCCGAGAGTAGTTTTTCTAAGAATATTTTTTCAACGTCTCTCGGAGCTCTAATTTCAGATTTTCCAACAATTTTTTCAAGGTCTCTTAGAGCTGAAATCGAGAATTTTAAAAGAATTTTTTTAGGAACACTCAGAACTAACATCGTGGTTTTTATCTCAAGGATTCTGAGAGCTATAATCTTGATTTTAGAAGAACATATTTGAAGAACTATTTCTTAAGGTCTCTAAGAGCTATAATCGTGGAATTACAGGGAATATTTTTTCAAGGACTCTTAGAGCTATAATCGTGGATTTTTAGAAAATATTTTTTTGAGGACTATTAGATCTGTAATCGAGGATTTTCACAAAATACGTTTTCAAGGATACTCAGAGCTATAGTTGAGGATTTTCAAAGAATATTTTTTCAAGGCTTCTCAGAGCTATAAGCTTGGATTTTTAACAAATATTTTTTCAAGGATAATTTTGGATTTTCAAAGAATTTCTCAGAGCTAGATTTGTGGATATTCAAAGAATATTTTTTAAGGACTCTCAGAGATATAATTGTGGATTTTTGAAGAATTTTTTTTCAAGGACTCTCAGTTGTATAATCAAGTATTTTCAAAGAATATTTTTAAAAGGACTCTCAGAGCTGTAATCAAAGATTTTTAAATAATATTTTTTTAAATACTCTCAGATTTATAATCGTAGATTTTCTAAGGACTCTGAGAGCTATAATCGTGAATTTTCAAAAAAAAAAATTTCAAGGATTCTCAGTGGTTTAATCGTGGATTTTCAAAGAATATTTTTCAAGTACTCTCGCAGCTATAATCGTGAATTTTCAAAGAATTTTTTTTCAAGGACTCTCAGTGCTTTAATCATGGATTTTCAAAGTATATTTTTAAAGTACTCTCAGAGCTATAATCGTGGATTTCGAAGATTATTTTTCAAGGACACTCAGAGCTATAATTGTGTATTTTAAACGAATATTTTTCCATGGACTCTAAGAGCTATAATCGTGGATTTTTTTCAAGGACTCTAAGAGCTATTATCGTGGATTTTTCAGAAGGACTCTCAGCTATAATCGTGGATTTTAAAGAATATTTTTTCAAGGACTCTCAGAGTTATAATCGTGGATTGTCAAAAAATACTTCAGCAAGGACTCTGACAAGCTACAGTCGTCGATTTTCAAAGAATATTTTTTAAGGCCTCTCAGAGGTATTACCGTAGGTTTTCAAAGAATATATTTTCAAGGTCTTTCGGAGCTGCGATCGTGGATTTTCAAAGAATATTTTTTTCAAGGTTTCTCAAAGTTATAATCGTGGATTTTTAGAAAATATATTTTAAGGACTCTTAGAGCTTTAATCGTAAATATTCAAATAATATTTTTCAAGGCCTCTCATGGCTATAATCGTTTTCGAAGATTTTTTTTAAGTAGTCTCAGTTACATAATCAACGATTTTCAAAGAATATTTTTTCAAGGACTCTCAGAGCTAGAACCGTGGATTTTCAAAAAATATTTTTTCAAGGTTTCTCGGAGTTGTACTTGTTGGCTTTCCAAATTTTTTTTCAAGGACTCTCAGAGCTATAATCTTGGATTTTCAAAGAAATTTTTTCGAGGACTCTCAGAGCTACATTCGTAGGTTTTGTAAAAAATATTTTTTCAAGGACTTTTAGAGCTATAATCGCGGATTTTAGAAGAATATTTTTCAAGGTTTCCTGGATTTTCAAAGAATATTGTTTCAATAATCTCAGAGATAAAATTGTGGATTTTCAAAGACTATTTGTCAATTTTGGATTTTTTAGAGGATTTTCATAGACAAAGGAATATTTACCTTTCAATTTTAGGTGCCTATACAACCCATCAATTGGTTTGTCGCATGGCTCTGACGTCATACGATCAAATCCCAAGTGAATTGGCGCCATATGCATTCGTCGAATTTACAATGCCAGCAACGCAGGTCTCGCATACCACAATACGTTCGGTGAGCGTGCAAGATTCGGAATCGGATGAACCGCCAGAGAAATATGTCAGATATTTGGCAAGACATGAATATAAGTGAGTTAAATGAATTTAATAATTAAAGAATAATTAATAAAATTATTATTTCCTTGCAGAGTGGGCATTGAAACAACCCATGGAGAGTCGACAAATGCCTATTTGGCAGCCACAAGGCCAATACGCGAGGAACCAGCAGAAAAGCCAGCAGCATCACCAGTACCGCCACCAAGTGACTCAGATTCGGATTCAAATTAGATTTAAGCAAAAAAAAACAAAATGTTAATTTGAAAACAAAAAATCATAGACAAGTTTAGTGGAACACAGTGAGAACAAAAAAAGAAACAACACATACAGTATTTTGTTGCTTAAAAAAGTTATTTAAATATTAGGAAAATAAAAATGGAAAAATGGATGGAATGCTTTTTAGGTCCTGCTGAAAATCATTGGTCTCGAGATTTAAATATGGGCAACAAATTTGATCTAACCTGCATTTCCATCCGCCAAAAAATTAATTAAAACTCTCAAAATACACTGATATTTATATACATACCATACATACATATATACTCATACTCAAGAAAAAAAAACCAAAAATAATAATAATCAGATAACAAATCATTATTTAAATACCAAATAAGTACTGGAAGGAAGGAAATGGAAAAATATATATACAACTGCTATAACGATCTTTATAAATTAAGCTTAAATATTATTACAAAAAATACAACAAAACCAACAACAACAACAACAACAGTAAACAAACTAAAGTTCCAAGAAGAAAATAATTTAAAAATAATTGTTAAATGTTTAAAAGTAAATAAATTATTATGAATAAATAAAAGAAATAAATATAAATAACCCATTAAACTAAAAAAACACACTTTCTCCTGACTACAAATGAAAAGCAAATACATATATACAAACAAAAAATATATACATATAATCACTCGAAAGAAAAACATTAAAATGACATATAGGAAATCATATATAGAAACATAACTTTTTAATTTTCATGTTTCCATTAAAAAAAATCGTACATACATATATATTTTATTTTTAGTGAAAAGAGAAACTTGTTCCGAATCCTCTTAGATAATATATAAAAACAAATATATAAATATATTTAAACATATATACATACATTAAGGTAAACATACACATACTTACTTAGTTGACAATAACATTATTTAGAGATTTATGTATGTCCCATTTGGCAACATGACAAAGACGACATGACATACATTTTGAACTTTACTGTTACAACGTTACGTATACATACATACATACATCCTTACATAACCAAAACACATCAAATGCAATGATATTATCGAAATTAAAGGCATACATATATATTATGAACAAAGTATATTTCAGACGTTTTGTTTTGAATTTTAAAAATTTTTTGGAATTTTTGGGCTTTTAAAATAAGGCAGCCTTGGAATGAATAAAAATGGGAAGGTTTGTCCCTTTGGGTTATATGAAAATAATATGTACGTATTAAGCGGAAATTGAGTTGAAAAAGGTCTAGTAAGTTAAGTTTGGCTGGGCCGAACTTTCTATAAGCTCCACCATGAGAAACATAGAATTGCTGGAAAATATGTTGTTTAAAAAGCCAAAAGTTTGGGGGCTGGATTATTCACGAAAAATGCTGAAGTGGAGTGCATCTCTTACTGTAATTTGGTCCTTTAAAATGCCCATAATTCGGGACTACAATTATCTATTGAATATTCCAAATTATTAACATACATAGAAAGATGTATACTAAATAAAATTTACAAATAAAAAATTACAACCACGACGGCTGAAAATGTGACCACGGCGTCAATTCTTGTTCTATGAAAATATGAAAAGGAAAGAAATATCAAGGAAAATATAAGTTATAAATGAAAAAACATAATCCAGCCCGAGGATTTGGAAAATATTTAAAATTGGTCGGAGCCAAAAGTGAATCGATATTAAAATTGTTCGAAAAATAATTATTCGTCTAGTTAGGACTTAAAACGCGGAAGTGGCAGGAAGGAAAAGAATAATACAGGGTGAGATAAAATAACTGCAACAAAGTCAAAAGTCAGTTTGTAACCATTCTTGGTGCGTGGCGCGTGCTGATTGGGATGGTGCTGAGTCCTGTTGGAATGTCCAAGCCATTTGTGGGTTTCCAGCCAAATATAAAGAAATCACGCTTTTTCTGGAAAGTTTTTGCTTTTATACGCTTGTAGACAATATAATGAGCTGTCACTGGAATAATTTTAACAGCTGTCGGACGCGTGGCTTAGAAATGACAACAGTCTGAAGTCGGTTGCAATTTTTTCATCTAACCCTGTATTTTCTTGATCAGCATAAAATTATATGTCGATTTGGCCATGTCCATCCGTGTGTCTGTCTGTTCGTCTGGAGAAATAACTCTTGCTTTTGGACGAAATTAAGAAGATTGATAAAATTTTACTCAAATGTATTTTACGTGCAAAGAAGTGTTGCTAATGAAATTGGTCTTTATAGGTTCATATTTTGGTATAGTCTCCGGATATAACAATACCGCCAGATATACAATCAGCGGGCAGAAACATGACATGATCCAAACTTGGTACATGGTAATTCTGAGATGGACAATATTGTTCCACTCCTTTCGATACCTCCCACACAATAGGTCGAAAATTTCACAGAAAATATTGTACCTTGTAAAACAAAAAGGGATTTTCCAATTTTGTGTAAACCGTGACCTCTGGGTCAGGTGTATTAGTACCTCCATCAAATACCTTCCACAAAAAGGTCAAAATTTTTGCATAATTAAAAATTTAAAAAAGTAAAATAAAAGTCCGATTCACCTTAAATCTCATGTACCTCAATTTTTTTTAACAACACAAGATCGGGACCACAACGTTTAGAATAATTAAAACTCTTATAAAATGTGAGTGACTAGTCTGCCTGTCTTTAAATTTCGCATATCTCAATTTTCTACCAACTATAGGTCTACAATGAAGATGAAATAAGTCAGATTACTCCTGGGTCAAAATTGTTAATAACGTTGGTAGCCTCCTTCTAACAAAGGTTCAACATTTTGAATAATTATAAAGAAAGTCAAAATATATTTCAATAAATTACATTGGGATCTCTCGTTTTCAGTTTCTGGCAGAAAACCACTTGGTACTAACAAAGTCAGCGAATCAAAGAAATATGTGGTTGCAGAGATAGAAAGAGAGGGGGCGGGGTTGAGAAAGAGAAACGTTCTTGTCTTTGAAATAAGATAGTGTGATCACCTATATCCCTGAGTTCGATTAATCGTAAAAATCGACTCTTCGTAAAAATTGACTTTCGATTCTGCGACTGGGGGTTTGTAGCTCATTTTTCTACCAAGTGTGTAAAAACACAAATCAAAATTGATTTTGGATTAGAAAATTTAAATCAAAAACGATTTCAAGCCTAAAGATCGGAAGTCCACTTACTGTTGAAACAAAAATCATAAGGTATATGATACGAAACTCGACTTTTGTTTTTGTCTAAATACATAAAGCATTTTTATATCCTACAACACTATGTGTTGGGGGTATTATAAGTTTGATTGAGCCAAAAATTATGTAACACCTCGAAATATTGGTTTCCCATATATGAAAGTATATATGGATCTTCCAATTTTGGTGGTCATCGGGTAAAATTTTTCCATTAAACCGAAAATATTTTTAATCCCGGCGAAATGACAAATAAACGAACGGGTCTATTCTGACCGTTACGTCGATGCCGATAGTAAATATATCGGATATATGTAGCGAAATATATACAATGTGTATATACAAAGGAAGGGGATGTTAGCTAGAATGTTTGTATCTCAAGAATGTCTGGACCGATTTTGACAAATCAATTCAGAAGGCCCTCTTGGCATAAAATTATAAAATCTAAAAAAAAAATCGCATAAAAAGATGCCCATAATGATATTAATATAGAATTTGTAGTATTTTGAGCCATTTTTTAATTTTTTCATACTTTTTATCACATGTGCCAGTCAAAACAACGTTTTATGTTTTCTCACCTTAAGTCAGTCAAAAAGCGTATAACATCGGCGGTTGTAGTTAAAACTCGTCAATGTCCGTCTGATTTCAAGATATTTCGCTTTTATGTATTTTTCTTCTAGAATTTTTCCAGTTTTCCAACAAAAGATAATAACAAGCAACACAGTCGGTCGAACTCAGATTTTATAAATTTAATGAGATTTAAATTTAATGACTTGACAATAGCTTTGGCTATGTTAGAACCGCTTCTTCCTTTGTTGTATTAAAAACTAGTGCAGTTTGGGTAATGTTGACAGTTTGTGGAGAAAGCTCTAACAGTTTGTGGAGAAAGCTCATGTAACTCTATGTTGAACATAGTTTAGAACGATTACACATTTCAAAACTCTTATTACTATATGATTACTGTATTTGAGCTCTGAAATGAATATGGCGAAAAACTAGCCCAGATCCACGAAATGAACAAATGCCCACAAAAATATGACCATTGTGTGTTTGCGATGAATAAAATTGTATTTTAAATATTTTCCTTTGTTTCATAAATAATACATACATACATGGAAATAAAAACCACATCATACCAACCATCATGTGAGAGATATTCCTTAATGTAGATTATTTGATGTAATTATGATAATCATTGACATAACTTTATAACAAAAAGAAATTGGCAACTTGGATATGTAAAAAAGCAATTTAAATCTCGTCACTAAATTAAATATTAGTCATTGAAAATATCACCAAAGAACCTGCCTTTTCTTCATAAAATCCTAATAACTCAAAAACAAAAATCTGACTTGGAGGTTAGTTTTAAAAAAAATTAATTGACATTCGGAGCCTGTTTTCGCAATGAAAACTCCAAGTAATGATATTAACAACACTCTTAAGAAATTCAAACCTAAATACTTTCAGATCGTCTCATCTACTTCTAACTCAATTCCCAACAACTCTGTCCTCTCTTTTTTAAAACTCCCACAAAATTAAATATCAGTATTTAAAATAAAACAATTTGAACAAATATTTGATGTGAATGTATTTTTGATTGAATTTAGAATAAAAGCAACAAGAAGCAAATGAAAAAAAAATACTCAATTAAAGCAAAAATAAAACTACTTTGTTAAAAACCCATGAATGAAAAATAATACCAATATTAGAACAATGATATTAAAAATTATGTCTTATTTTAAATGTTATATATTGTAAAACGAATTTAAGTATAACGTTAAATATTAATTCCTAAAATCATAAATAAAAAATCCAAAACTTCATGGAACCACTAATAAAAATAATCTCAAAAAAATCACCAAAATAAACATTTCCATAGATTCAAATTCCATAACTACTATATACCCACAAAACACTCTAAATAGAATTCAAATGAAACAGCTATAAAATCAATCTCTAACTCGATGTAAAATAACTAAATTGTTAAGCAACACTAAAAGATATTAAAGAAAAATTCAAATAACTCAAAATTCCCACTTTCCCCCGTACCCCTTAATCCTTAACAAAAATGTATTGTATTAAATTAATTATCTCTGTTCTAAGTTTATTGGCAAATTGTATTATGATGAGAATTAAAAAAAAAATCAGCAACTATTTAAGGCAACAAAATATTTATTCCCAAATAAATAGAGAAAATGAAGGTAATGGAGTAACCGATGAACCATATGTTATACATAGTATTTATGAAATAAATGACATAAACAAACATATATATTAATAATAAACAAGCAGAACAAATATACAAACAACTATACATATTACATACGACATGAAATATAAACTGAAATAATTACAAATCAATAACAAAAAAAATAAATAAAAACAACAGATAAATATTATGATGATTATTACAAATAAATAGTTAATTGATGAAATGACAAAAAATAAGAAAATTGTGTTTTATTTAAACTAAGGTGGACCAGTAAGACCATCTGACGACCAAGTTTTCTGTCAAAATATATTGTGAATTCGCCCTATGAATAAAAACACAAAATTGTGACGTTCTTGTCAAAACATTTCGAAATAATTTTAATTATTAATGGAATTTGAAGAAAAGTCTATATAAATTTTAAATAAACAGGAAAATTTGTGAATTTGAAAATGAGAATTTGCCAAATATTCAGAAAGAAGGAGATTCCAGGAAGGGGTACATTTTTTCGGGTCCAAAGGATGAAGTGTCAAAGGCAGAATGGAGTAACGTTTGCCAGGTAGAATATAAAGCAACATCTTCTGTATGCTCTGAACACTTCGACGTTGCTCATGTGGTGAAATCCGGAAGAGAATATTATCGCGAATGGTTACAAAATGGGAATCGATCTAGAGGTGTCTATCCGTCCATCCATTTGATGCATACGAAAACTGTCGAAGGGAGCCCCCGGTTTGGCTTATAAAACTTAGATCGAGTTCGTAGATGAGCAGTACTGGTTGAATCCTACCTGTACCTACCTTAGAAAAGGTCAACAATTTCAAAGAAAATAATCCCAATCCCAAAGCTGACTTTGAATGACCTCCAAAATTTGGAACGAATTCAATCCGTTAAAAATTCTGTTAAAATCTTAAAAATACCGAATGTAGCCGTTATATTGGGGTCTACACGACGACGTGGACCTGCATGGGCAATTTTTGTCAAAAGCCATTACAATATTCAAAAGCGAAAATTGAAAAAAAAAATCTGTGAATAATGTAGCTAAAATCATCAAAACAACGAATATCGGGAGGTACCGTTATATGGTGGCTATACGAAGACGTTGACCTGCACAGACAATTTTCTCCAAATATCCAATATCAGTCCAAATTACCTGAATTTTGACACATCCGACGGAGTTCTGTCTAGAAGAAAGTACATCAAATTTGGTTAAAATTGGTTCAGATATAGATATAGTTACCATATATATGTTCAATCCGATTAAGGGTTTTAAGTCCCTCACATGTGTATTATGCACTCCACAGCAATAATATTTGGTACCAGATATCAGATACAGCCCACAAATACTCATGTCAGATTTTATCGAGTTCTGATCAGATTTGGATATAGCTCCTATATATATCTTTATCCGATATCAGGGTTTTGTGCACCAAATAGCTTATATCAGTCCAAATTAATTTAATTTCGGTCTACACATCACGGACTGCAATTAAATACATTGACGTTAAACCACTTAACCAACGCTAAATAACAAAATAAATAAGAATTTATTATTTGGACGACTTCGTTTGAAACGAGAGAGCAAATGAGATAAGATTTGTATTTGTTTATAATATAAATGTTGGACTTTTTTAAAAATATGGACAAAAATCAACAACCTTAGTCGTTTTCGGCGGGGAATTGTGTGCCTTTGTTTAACATTTTTAGAGCAAAAGTAGAAATGGTATGACCGAATTTCAAAGGAAGTCAGGACAAAATAGTTTGAAAAAATTCACTCTAAACGAACTGAGAGACTGTAAAAAATAAGCTTAAAGATTAAAAAAAATATATATTAAATAAAAAATTTATTTTAAAAATCAAAAAAATATTGGAAAATACTATTTTTTGTGGCAGTTTGTGAAAAATCAAATCAAAACCATTCTTATATTCTTCTGAATATTGGTGCAATATTCTTTAAGAGAATATCCTCTTTACGCAACTAACTCTAATCGGACGGATTTGAGGATCGAAGCGAAAATTAGCAACTATGAATGGCCTACTTCTACATGTTGGATGGAAAGGTCAGTGTTTTTCAAGTAGAGATCTTTGCGGCAGAATTGATTAAAACTATGAAGAATAAAATAACTAAGCCGGTTGCTATTTATGTGGATAGTCAAGCGGCTCAGCAACTCAAAATCAAGTTCGACGCGGTCTTGAGTTGTAGCACAGCTCTTGGAAATCTGCATACTACTATCCGGCTTTGTTGGGTACCTGATCATTGTAATGTTGAAGGAAATGAGGCTTGAAAGATTGGCTCGAAGTCAACAGACCTTGAAGTCGCCGATATGTAAAAAGGATGATTAAATCAACGTTGCGGTTAACAATAGGGATACTAGCAGGCCACTGCATTGTCTAATCAAAAATAGGATAGTTCTAACGTCGAATACTGCTGGCTCTGTGAGAATGAGGAAGAGAATGAAACACTGTCCTGCTCTATCAGGGGAAAGACTACGAGAGTTAGTCACATCTTTTTTCGATGCCTCTTTCTAATTCTCAATAAAGATATATTACCTTACATTCAGCTTATTCCTTCTTCTTTTTCACGCAGGATAATCACCATGGACTGAATGGTCTCCAAGCGAGGTAGTTACCATCTCGATTGTAACTTAAAATTTTCTAATCTATCTCATGCTCATTCACGAGTCCAAAATAAAAAATCCACGAGTTCTATTTTGACAACTCTTGAAAAAAAAAATGTCTAAAGATCTGTCCTAGTCCTTGAAATAATTTTCTTACAAATCCAAGAATATTTTCAAAAGCAGCGAAATCCTTAAGGAAATATTCTTAAAAAAATTCCAAAAAAATCTGACCTTTAAACATATTCACGACAATATTTTTAAATTTATTTTTAAAAATTCTCCAATAACGACTCTTCCTTCTCAAAATATTTTTAAAAAATCAAGAATATATTTGAAGAATTTTCATTATTAAAAAATTCACAAATTTCCTTGAGAAATATTTGTATCTCTTGAATTTCTTAGTAAAATATTCTTAAACAAGTAAACTAAGACTATACCCTAACCAAATAGTGTTGCGGAGTGTAGAAAAACTTAGAAAATGTACAATTCAAAATTGTAAGTCAAATTGAAACAAGTTAAAAAGCAGTAAGTTCGGCCGGGCCGAATTTTGAATACTCTCCACCATTCGGAACGAAGTTGGAAATTTTCAATTTTCTATACGACGTGGACCTACATAGGCATTGTTTGTCTTAAGCCATTACCATATTCAAATTCGAAACTTGAAATATACTGTGAATAATGTAGTTAAAATCATAAAAATATCGTATATAGGGAGGAACCGTTATATCGGAGCTGTGCGAAAAATACCGAATATAGGGAGGTACTGATATATGGGACCTATACGAAGACCTACATGCATAGACAATAAATTCCGGTAAATAATGACGCTAAAATCATCAAAATACCGAATATTGGGAGGTACCGTTATATGGGGGCTATACAAAGACGTGGACCTGCACAGACAATTTTCTATCAGAGGCTGTAGATCCAATACGAACTTCAAATACAAAATTTGAAACAATTCCGATGAATAATGTCGGGAAAATCACCAAAATACCGAAAAAAGGGAGGTACCATTATATAGGGGCTGTACAAAGACGTGGACTTGCACAGACAATTTTTTGTCTTAGGTGGTAGTATCCGTTTCGAACTTTAAATACTAAAATTGAAACAATTCCGGTAAATAATGTCGCTAAAATCATCAAAATACCGAATATCGGGAGGTACCGTTATATGGGGGCTATATGAAAACGTGGACCTACATGGCCCATTTTCAATACCAAAAGTTCTGCAGACATAATATACATTTGAGTAAAATTTTATCGATCTACTTCAATTCGTTCGGAAGCTGGAGTGATTTCCACAAACGGACAGACGGATAGGCGGACGGACATCGCTAAATGACATAGAATTTATGCTGATCAAGAATATATATACATTCTGGGGTCTAAAATGTATATTTCGAGGTGTTACAAACGGAATGAGAAACTTAATATACCCTCCATACATTGGTGGAGGTTATAAAAATGTAACAAAAAATATTAACTTTTATATTGTCATATTTTTACGCGATTTTCTTAGATTTTATTCTTTCTTGGCAAAAATCATTCCTAAATGATGCAAATTGTGAAAATCAGGCCAGCGGTTCTTGACTAATAAGCCGAGTAACTAAGATCTCTTTCTTTTACATATACATTGGACCTATTTTGTCTATCAGCATAACTGTAATGGTCAGAAGTGACCTTTTAATGTATTTGTGGATTGGCCGGGTTAAAAACTATTGGCGGTTTAGTGGAAGTTTTAATATTTTTCGCATTAAAATTATGGTTTATTTTATCCGCTAAATATAGTCCGATGACCTCTACATTCGTAGGCTTCTTCCTAGCTCTAAATTCTAACTCCATGCAAAATTCCGCGATTGGTTTATAATTGTGGCTTGTAGCACCATATCAAAATCAGGAATTTTTTCAGTTTTTGGTCGATTTTAACCCCTAAATATTTTGCTATCATCTCGAAAAATAGGCTTCTATTCTGACCTTTTTGCACCTTTCATTTTAAATTTCGTGAGAATCGGGCCATAATTGCGACCTATAGCGTGATTACAAATTAATTAGAACAGACGGACGGATGGACATACATAGCTAAATCGACTCACTCGGCGAGATAAGAAGATCTATATATAGTT